ATTCCTATATCCTTTTCTGCTTCTTTTTTTTTTTTTTTTTTTTCCCCACAGGATGCCCTGACAACTTCACGGATTCCCAATGTTTAAATCCCATTACTGCTTTTCAAGGCTGTATGAGGCTCATCTTTATTGATAACCAGCCCAAGGACCTCATTTTAGTTCAGCAAGGCTCCCTGGGGAATTTTAGTGATTTACACATTGATCTGTGTGACATCAAAGACAGGTAATTATTGGTTTCTCTTTCTTTTGTTTGTTCTTTTTTTTTTCATCCTAGTGGTTTATAAATACAGATTGCATTAAGTGAAAATTCTAATCTGCCAACATTACAGATATTAGGCATAATAGATCTGCTAATAGAGAATATCATGGCAAAGATAGAAAGGACTGGAGGGGAAATGATTTCAATTACATGAGGCTCTCTCCACATTGACTTGTAGGAAATAGAGTATGCAAATCCAATAAAATGCAGTTTGATAAAATGATTAAATTTTATGCATAAACAACGTTTGATTGCTTTGAAGTTTTAGAGAGAAATGAAAGAAGGAAAAATTCTTTGATTCATCAGAACATGTCATCTTACTATATTAGCTGTTTTTGTTTATGCAGAACATCTATAGTTTTTCTTGTTAGCCTTTATAGCACATTTATTATGAAGATATCATAGAACCATAGAACAATTTAAGTTGGAAGGGACCTTTAAGTTCATCTAGTTCCAATCTCCCTGCTATAGGCAGGGACAACTCCCTGTAGACCGGGTTGCTCAAAGCCCCATCCAGCCTGGCCCTGAATGCTTCCAGGGAGGGGCATCCACAGCCTTGCTGGTCAACATGTACCAGTGTCTCACCCCTCTCACAGTAAATAATTTCTTCCTTTCATCTAGTCTAAATCTACGCTCTTTCAGTTTAAAACTATTTCCCCTTGTGCTGTTGCAACATGCCCTTGTAAAAAGTCCCTCTCCAGCTTTTCTGTAGGCCCCCTTCAGGTACTGGAAAGCTGCCATAAGGTTCCCCCAGAGCCTTCTCTAGGTTGAAGAGCTCCAACGCCAGCATGCCTTTGTAGGGGTGGTACATCTTTCCAGCCCTCTGATCACCTTTGTGGCCCTCTTCTGGATCTGCTCCAATACCTCAGTGTCCTTCTCATGTTAGGGGCCCCAGAACTGGACACAGTACTCCAGGTGGGTGTCATGAGGGCAGAATAGAGAGGCAGAATCACCTCTCTTGACGTGCTGGTCACGCTTCTCTTGATGCAACCCAGGATGTGTGGTTGGCCTCCTGGGCTGTGTCCCCACTTTGCTGGCTCATGTTGAATCTTTCATAACTGACAATGATAGTACACCTTGTTATGGCATACAATCAGTATGGTACAGCTCATCTAGCATATCGAGCGTTTGGTAGGAAAATGTTACGATGAAATATCTGTATCTACCAAAGAGATATTTCATATTTGTTACATACTAATACAAATCCCTCCTAAGTTGGAATCTGAGAGGAAGCCCAGCTTTTCTCACCAAAGACAGACTGGAAATAAACATTTTTTGTGTATTTTGTATTTTCTACTTTGCTTCCTATGAACTTTTAACATTAAATATTTCTTCTGGAAATATGTACTCTGAAGTTAGTTTATGGGCTAATAGGCTCTGGTTTTCTTTGCTTTTAAATCTGACTAAGTTGTAATAAATGAAAATTAAACTGTTGAAAATTTCACATTTCAAATAATTAAGGGAGTAGTAAGGATGTTCTGGAAATAGGTTGGGAACTTAGGCACTGAAAGCAGTCTTTCAGACATTGCTTCGAGAACTGGAGCTTCAGGCTGATCTATGTTACTGCTTTCTATAGAAAGGGTCGGATTGTTAGAGTTACCAGAAAAAGTGTTCTTTTTAAGCCTCTGTTACGTGAAACCTTTGTACTCATCTCTGTATGTTTGTGTTTGTTAACCTGAGTTTGTTAATGGAGAAAATACTGATTCTATTCATCAAATGACAAAATTCAGGCAGATGTGAATTTCACTTAGTGTGCCTAGAATGGTAGACTGAATTTGCGAGGTGCAGTTGATTTAACAAAACATAAAAATATAGACTTCTCTAGGAATTAAGAGAAAAGAAAGAATTTTGCTTTTTTCTTGGAAGAACAGATTGTTTAAGATTAAGTGGGCCATTTGATGTAAATTTGTCTGTTGAAACAGAAGACTCTTCTGGTATGTGGCAGAGGAGTTTTGAGGCATCTTCATGCTTTCATTGTCACCGGGTCTGGACTGCAGTGTAAATCAATGGTGCTACTCTAGCTGTCTTCCATATTGTCAGTATCCTAAGCATGGCAATCGTAAGTCTGTGATCCTGCCATAAAACTCCTTAAGGCGAAGATACAAACATAATAAGAAAAGTGGGTCTTTATTTTACATAATGATTGTCTGGAATATATTACACGCATAAAAAAAAGCTATACATGATCTAGTGAAGATTAAAGTTGTGTCTTACAGTACAATTCTCTGGGTAGGCTTAAGTTTATGTCTCCACTATATGATCTAGGTGAAAAAGAGAGATCCAATTAAAAAAGAAAAAAGAGGGTTAGAGTCAGAGTTGACAAAAGTGATTCTTTTATAGCTGAATTCAGTATATCAGTGCAACCGCCCTGAAGGGGAAGAAAGAAGTCTGTAGTGTAAGGAAGTACAGTACCGAAATTCAGAAATTCTCCTGGTAACTGAAAGGCATGAGCATTGCTAAAGCTTGTGAGGATTGCAGTTTTCACACTTAGTGAAACACCCAATGTGCTCTCCCTGCCAGGAAGCTCTAATAATTATACTGAAACAGTTTTGCGGGGAAGAAAGAAGGTAGGTTTTTTTTTTTTTTTCTGAGTCATGTTGCAGTTTTCACTAATCTGGGTTAGGATCCTGAGGTTAAAGTTACAAAATTGATTTCAAGAAGTTAGAAAAGTTGTTCTAAGAGTCAGAGGGTGAAATACTGCTGGTGCAGAACTGAAGTCCAGAGTGGTCATAGAAGCAGTAGTTGGGAAGAGATATAAAATTAAAAGAAAATACAGAAAAGAAACAAATCCTCTGTGCTATTTGTCAGCACAGTTGATCCTAATTCAGTCCTACATAGTTAATCTAGGAAAAGACTGAAAAGAAAAATATACTTCTTACTAACCATTGTTAAATGGTCTAGGTTCTACAAATCTGTATTATGGCCTAATTAGTTACAACAAACTATACATTAAACATCTGGGAGAAGATTTTAATTCAGAATTCTGCTAAATTGGAAGTCTGCCTTGCTGTCCAATTTAGCATAGAATCACTGAATCATTAAGGTTGGAAAAGACTAGTAAAATTGCTGAATCCAATCATCAACTCATCTTCACCATGCCTACTAAAATACATCCTTCCATCACAACAGCTCTTGGCTTTTAGGAAAGTTGGGTTCTAACTCCAGGTGTGCTATATGTGGCTGCTCGTTCCTGTTATATAAGGAGTGTTAAATTCTGTAAAAGCCCTATCCACAAGAAATATAATCTTTCTTAATTATAAGATTTATTGCTATGTGCACTGTAAAGCACATGTTTTTGTAATTTTAACGCGTGTGGGAATTATGTTTCTTAATTAACATGTAAATAGGACATTTGTCTTAGTTATCTGTGCAAAAAAAGCTCTTTGAGGAATATGCTGCTATTTAGAAAGCAATTTGTTTGTTACAGAGTTGTAGGCCAAGCTCACTCAGACCTGGGCTCTGAAAGCAATTCTTAGGCAGCTTGCTGCAACTTGTGCTGGCTCTTAAAAAGAAAATGAATAGTTTTATTTTGAAAGATGACGACAATCTGGGACTACTGCTGATGCCAGCAGTATATTTTTGAGAAAGCATCTAATTGTGTAAGCTTATTATGCACACACTGGGATTCCCGGAATAAAGCGATGAGCCTCCATTAATCTAAGTGGAGCGATTTGAGGGACCAAACCTTAAAATCTCATCACTTCATCTCAAGTATTTGAACTATATGTGTGCTCAAGTGAACTTTGGGCGAATGCCTTCTGTCTTCCTCTGCTTGTTTTTCCCATCCTTCAGTAGCTTTTTCTGGGAGATAAATGCTGTGATGCTACCTGAGCTATCAAGGAATACACAGAAGAAATTGATTTGTCCATAGGAATATTCAGAGTTTGGCTTTCTTTCCATTGGTGTCTGAATAGACAGTGCCTTGTGAAAATGCTTTTGCAGACACAAGTGAATCTGTTGTCGTTGATCCTGCTTTGCCAGAGACCTCCAGGATTGTCTTTCAGCCTCAGCCATCCTGTGAATGAGATCACCCAGTAGACACTCTGGTCCTGACTGAATGGGCCAGGAGGTATACGGGAAAGCTGGAATTAGCAGATAATATGCAGAAAACTCACTTCTCTGCTTTCAGTGAGACGTTAAGACCTTGTCTGAACAGTCTGGAGTTCAGCACAGCAGTCAATATGGCCTTTCATCATCTTTCTGATGATCTGCTATCTCCTATTAAGAGACTGCCTGTTCCCAGCCCTTAGCTGCAGTGTCAACATCATTTATGTTCATCCTATGACAGCTGAAGTTGTTTCTGATTTGCCGCCTTCTTGTTTGGTACCTACACATTGCCCTTAGTCGACACATGCTGTGCAAGGAGGGGCATCCCTAATTGGTTCATATCAAAGCTGTGCCTGCTCCACAAAGCTGTGTCCCTTGAAAATAGTGTTATATTCCCTTTGCCTCCTTCAAGGCAAAGTTCTTGTTTCCCAACACCTTGTGGAACAGAAAAGTAAAATCTGCAGATGAAAATAATTTTGCTTGTACTAGTGTGCTTGTAAACCTCTTGGCATGACTCCCTCTGCCTGTGTGCATTTAATCCATCTAGCAATGTTTTGTTTATAGTAGGTGTATTTGCTGTGGTTGTCCAAATACGCAGATTGCTCTGTGTTTTCTGAGGGTGTTGCAAAGTGTGGTGCTTATACTTCTCTTGTTATGAAGCATTAGATGTCATAGAGTTTTCAATGCATTTATCCCCGGGTAAAGAAAAAATGAGAAAACGAGATAATATCCCACTAAGCCAGAGAAGCCTGCTTCATATTTAAAAGAAAGTGGATATGTTACATTTTATCTCTCTTTGTTGTTGCCTCTTCAGAATTTCTCCTTGATTAGGAGTGCAGATATGCAGCCGGGTTTGTTTGCTTTACACTGAATTAATGAGTGAGAAAATACAGTGTCTTGCAGCATGGTACAGAGCA